TGGATAATCTCCAGAAATCAATTTAAAGGTAATTAAATGATTGCTGATGCAATATTTTCCCTATAACTATTACAAAAACACACAAAAAAGTATAAATAAGTATTTGTATTTGTGTACAAGCTGTTTAGATTGTCAAAAAGCCTGTGTTTTTAGGGTTATTAACAATGTTCGTGTACTCAGGCCAGTAATATTTGGGGTCACAAGTTTTTGCCATGGATATTTTGTGGGTCATAAGATAAAAAGTTTGGGAACCACTGYTCTAGAGCACATGATCCACATTTCATCWGATACTTTTCCACAGTCTGTTTTCTCAGTTAACACTCTGTTCTGCTCTTTGTTACCCTTGAACTGTTCTCAATTAAACACAAGGTTGAAAGGATTCTCTGTGTTATTCTTGGAAGTGGACCTGAGCACGATCATCCCACCGTCTGCTGGACTGGATRGAAACCGGTGTTGTGTTCTGATCTGTTTCTGTTTTGTCTCTGCGAACAGAAACTTGGATTGTCCAGAGTGGCAGATGCAAGGCCCCAAATCTTCCAGCATAAATCGATGATGACTAAAGTGAATGTTTAAAAGCAGGAAAACAGGCGGCGTTGAGGAGAACTAAGGATACGAGGAGGAAAACCTCAAGGGGAACTGAGAGGCGAAGGAGCAGAGCTTGAAGCTTTGACACATTGTTTGATTACTGTTTAACGACACTAAAGTTTATTTTATTATTTAAATTTTGATACAACCTTTACAGTAAACCCTTTGATTCAATGATTGCTTATGTGAAAGTGCAGCTTAAAAAATGTACTTTTGTTTGTTTTGAGGTTTTGTTGTGCTATAATGAGTTTTTCAAGACATAGCGTAACAAAAAAATCCCATGTATTTTTACTGCTGTAATATAGGTTCTTATGAAATAATAAGACTGAGGTTTTTGTTGCTGAGTGATGTAATTATGCCACAAATGTATACAAGCTGGCAGAATCAGAGAAAAAAAATTAGATTTTTCAAAAAAAGTAGTTTCACCTTGTCATGAGTATAAATATTACCCATTCCACYTTTTGATAATCCATTACTGATCATCATCAAAAGCCCAAAAGCACTTAATACTTTAAACTCACTGTGAACTAAAATAAAAGCACAAACTTCAACGAGGAACTCAGACAAAACTTCAGAAAAATCAAAAAAAATTGTCACACTTTATGGATCAGTAACTGAATTCTTTTATTCAGTTTGTTTCATTTGTTGGCAGTTTAATTCCTATTTTATGCAATTCATTAAAAAACTTGATCTTAATTTTGTCTAATTTAACCTGTTTTAACCTCCACATGCAGCACATCGAACAGTTTTCTGCTCTCTGTCAGATAAAAGGCCTAAAATACCTCGAATGCGCAATAATGTCAGATATTTAATAAAAAACTTGTCTGATTACATAAAATTGTGTGTCTTCTATTCTAAATCTGAAAATCTTATTATAAATCCTACATTTATGACAAAATCTCTGCTTTTTGTTTATAAAAAAAAGTTTAAGTTTACTGCTTCAGTAAAGACAATTGGTCAAAATAACTGACAACATTAAAGGAGGGGAAACTGTTTTTATTGGCGTAAAAAGTACACTTACATATAAATCAGATTGTGAAAGCCCTGTGCTAAATACAAACTGTGTGAAACGATGAAAAGATGAAGCTGGGGAGGAATGGMTCCTGAGTCTTGCTCCGTCTCTTTGTGTTTATATAATGACATAATCTTTCACTACATTTTTGCTCCATGTGCTAAATCCCAGCACATGTTCATCAGGACCAGAAGCAGGATGAACAGTGAAGTTCCTGAAATGAGATATTTTTAGCAAATTTCCATGGCCGTTATTGTTCGTTTGTTTTTGTTTACCTGTGACGTGGCCATTATTAGAGGAGCTGCGACCTGTTAAAGGATAGATTAAGTACTTTTATTTGTCAGATTGAAAAATATATAATCCCTTTGATCGAATGTTGTATGGTACCTTTAATCTGAAACTCAGCAGACAGGATCCCCCCATTTGGGTCAACCTCTGATGACAGAGACCTCACGGTGCAGGGGCTCTTCAGGGGAAAATAACAAAATAATGTGAAATTAACTTTTCACTCAATAGATCTGACACAGAAATCTGTTTAGAATCAAATGATTGCAATACAGCAACCAGATTACAAACATGTTTGTTTCTATTAATAGTTTTAGATCACAAAAAATGACCCAAAAAAAGAAAAGAAAAATAACTAAAGCAGGCCTCAGAATTAAAGGGGGGGGGGGGGGTATTCTCCAGGTACGGGAATTTTATACCACAATCAAGTAATTATGTAACCTTGACTTGTTCTGAAAATGCTGTATATATCAAGTATATATTTGACTTTGCATCGTAATCTATATAAACRCCTTGAAACTGGCCTTTATCTCTTTAAGAACCTCCTACCATGTCAGACACTCCCACTTCAGCATGTTTCATAGGAGCGTTGTGTTTTGTTRTAATAAAAGAAGCAACATTGGATGATATCTATTTGGAAAACGGCAACTCAGGATACATTTGAGCCTTACTCGAATGACCCCATGTCGGACACGGACAGTACTTTTTATGAAGAACCGGAGCGACTACAGAGTCTCTTACAAGACTTTTCAGACTGGTAATATACAGTAACTCCCAGTCATCCTCTCATACATATGTGTCAATGTTAAACTACTTTTTGTGAAGAAACTCTACATATAGATCAGGAGGGGTGCTCTGTGGGGCAGGAGCCGAGTTGGGRACTGAGCTCCAAGGAGGAGCTTCAGGTAAATAGGCGTGGCTTCGTACCAGCAAGCACCAAACGATTACTACAGGAGATTCAAGGATTTCTCAAACRTGCATAAATGAGTCAAAGCATCACTCAGGATGTGTTTTTGATGAGGGAATACCATTATAACATGATATAAAGCTCATAAAAGTTGATTTTTCACAACAATGTGTCTGATTTTCCTGCGAACATGTAAATGTAAAATATTTATGAGGCGTCGCTGCTGTACTCACAGGCTGACAGATGAGTCTCTCTGCATCACAGATCTGGATTTCACAGTGAAGCCAGACGGTGGAAACTTTCTCCAGCCGCTGGAAACGGAACGAGTTGAACTTAAAGGTGGAGCGGCTGTCTTTGGCGTTGTCGAAGATGGTCACAGTGTTGTCAGCAGGGCAGCTGTTTGAAAACACTTAATATTAAAAGCTTCAATAAATTGGTACTGGTTAGCAGTATTGGGCATTGTTTTTATGAGTACAAGTATTTGTGGCTAGTATTACCTGTTGATGATGAGAATCCACTTCTTCCTGTCTGTTGAGTAYGGAGTGGGTGTGGCCCAGCAGTTGTTTATCACTACTTTAAACCTAACACAGGTAAAAAAAAAAAAATCACAGTTTGGCCTCTAAACGTATAAAAATGGTTAAATATTGTGCAAAATGTAAAACGTAGCAGTGTACCTATTACTTAGACCTTTTGCCTCGATGCCGATGAAAACTTCAGAGCCGATCTCAGATGTGTCGATCACATAAGGAGCATCTTTAGCGTACAAGAACTTGGAGTTCTATGAGATATTTGTATGTTTTAAAGCTTTATCTCACACAGTAAAGCGTCATACACCAAATAAGCGCTTAAAGAGATATTGCGATAACCACAGAAGTCTCTTCCACTGGAGAAACTGAATCCACAGGCAGCAACTCACCGTGAACACGTTYAAAGATAACTGTGACCTAAAAGTGCCTAAACTCCCATTGTTGACATAAACTGTAGCGACTCTAGAAAAAGCAGAGGGTTTAGTAAAAACACTGCAAGTCATTGCGTCAGCATGCACAAATCGTCCACGCAGTAAATGTGGTTGGCTTGTGTCCTGAGGCGGTGCTTACCTCTGGCTGAAGACGGCGTTATTTACCAGGTAGGCGGCTCGGTACATGCAGCTGAAGGTGTAGTTGACCGGCTGGTTCCTGACGGTCAGAGAAGTGTCGTTGGACACGATGGAGTTATAGAAGATGTACTTGGGGTCTTTGCCTGGCATGTACTAAAAAAATACCATAATCAAAATACACTGCCTAGCCTATATATATA